ATTTTGGGGAAATTGAACTACCAGTCTTTAATCACCCTAACCGAATTAGGGTAAATACAGTTTTTATTCAAGATCAACTGATAGTCTCGAAGCCCTACTTAAAAACTAAAATATGCTCCAGTAAAGCAGCTGATGGCTGGTTGAGAAGAATCTACCGTCGTCTTCTGGTGAGATACATCTGCGAGTCCTTTCCCTGCACACTTTTCCACTCTAAATGAAAGTGAGCTCAACAATCATTGAAATCAACTTCCGAAATGCCCCCTTCTTACTAGGATCTTTTACATGCATCACATTATCCCAACACATGTGTATACTTCTTTTTTTTAAGGAGTATCTTTGATCTTTCTTCACCATGAGTAGTGATCTTATCCCATTATTTTCTTTTCTTGCCTCTTTCTCATTCCATTCTATTCCTCCTTAGGCTCTGGATCCGAGTCTGGTCTCCGTTCTCATGCGTCGTTCACATTGAAACAGGGGCTGCAGCTCGACAGCATCAGAGCGATGCCCACCACTATTGGTATCAGCCTAGGCGAGTATAGCTGCTCCTCCGAGCGTGGCTCCAGTAAGCCTACCAATGCCGATCTGACGCTAGCAACTGAAGCAATGACACCTGTGCCCACCAACGTCGTAGCTGACTTTGGCCGAAATGGTGATGCAGTGAATAGCCTTGGTAAGAAGACGCATCAATTCTGGCTGCATTCGAGCCACGAAGATCAGACGTCTCTGGAACTCCTTGCGACCGAGCAGGCGAGGGCGCAAGGCGGCAGTATGCCAGCTTCTGACTTCCAGACTCATAATTCCGGACTGCTCAATGCAGATGCCGAACTTTGGACAAGCTATTTGCAGCTTCTCAAGAAGGCTGGAGTCGATCTGACTAAAAGCTGCTTAGCCAGTACGCCATACTCAGGAGCCTGTGGTATGACAGAGTAAGTGTCTCATTTACTTACCTGAAAGACCCTGATTCTTTGTTATTGAATATGCCAATTTGGCTAGCATAATGCATAGTATTTGTGATATAAGTAGTCTTAGAAAGCATCAGCAATTCCTAAATATAAAGCTTAGTCACCCTAGGCCGCTTAGGGCGATCTAAGCACAGATCATTAGGATGAATAGACCTCATGGTGGCATTCACTTTTACCTTGCTTTGCCTCTAAAAAGACTATCTCATCCACAATGAACTGCAGTTTCAACCTTATCTGAACTTGCCTAATTGGTACTCCCAGTGGGATTCGATACAGGATGGTGAGTATCGTGGTGATATTGTCACTTCACTACACGGTCACGGGTGTCACTAGGTTACAGGGCAGATGTGGCATTCTAGACAAGCCAGGCTTCCACCAGCTAACATTTTTATGCCTAGGATTGTCAATTGAGAAAACAGGTTGTTACGATTGCAATCGACGACGTTAATTATTTTCAATATAGGTAATTTTTCCAGTAATCATTCTAAGGTGACTAAGCCATTATTAAATAGTTAGTGAAATTATTTAATACTGCCTTTAGCGAAAATGAGTAACGTCGTCGATTGCAATGCCAAATAAGTGTCGGCCTAATCAACAATGGCGTCATGAGGCCTACTCACTCAATTGTGGGATAACTCCATTATTAGTCTTTAAATCGCCCTATTCGACGAAAGATAACTAAGCTCTTACTTAAACTATGCCACATAATTAATTCAGTTATTTCATATAGCAATACAGAGGAACAAGGCTGAATTTGCAATAAGTTATATATGCCCATTTTCATACTCACTATTATCTTTGCTTAACCTAATTGGACTTACATTAGGAAGAAGCAAAAGTATTTGAGCATTATTAATATATTTTGATCGAAGATATATAGACCAAGATGGTGTGGCTTTTTGTGTGATCGCAGTCTCCTTTCGTTGTATAGAAGTTGTTTGACCTTGTTTTCGCAACTTGATCATAATGGTAGGAAGATGCATGTCGCAACTTGGTCATATTGGTAGGAAGACTTAGAGGAACGCACCTAGTCCGGAGTCCATTGTATGCATCAAGAAGTTGTTTGACCTTGTTTTCGCAACTCAGTCATATTGGTAGGAAGACTGATAGAAACGCACCTTGTCCTGAGTCCATTGTCTGCATAATTAGAAACTCGGTCATATTGGTAGGAAGACTTAAAGAAACGCACCTAGTCCGGAGTCCATTGTATGCATCATCGTTTGGTCATAATGGTAGGAAGACTGATAGAAACGCACCTTGTCCTGAGTCCATTGTATGCATAATTATTTCTTTTCGCAACTCGGTCATATTGGTAGGAAGACTTATTGGAACGCACCTAGTCCGGGGTCCATTGTCTGCATGATCATTTCCTTGGTCATTTTGGTAGGAAGACTTATAGAAACGCACCTTGTCCTGAAAATGGTCACATTGGTAGGAAGACTTATTGGAACGCACCTAGTCCGGGGTCCATTGTCTGCATGATCATTTCCAAAGTAAGACCGTGGACGTGGTACATTCCCAGACGTTTCGCCGGCATCGTCAGTGAGTATCTCCATTCTTAGCACCATGTGGACCTGGTACATTCCCAGACGTTTCGCCGGCATCGTAGTCAGAATCGTCAGTGAGTTTCACCATTCGTAGCA